CCCTTAGTGTACCTATGTGTATACAAATTACAGTGCACGTGCGGGGGTATTTTAAAAGTATTTGTAGATGCCTTCTGTCTGCTTGTACGGAGGCTGTAGATCCGGTGGCGTGGCGTTGTAGTTGTGGACGCCTTCTGTCTGCTTGTACGAATGTTGCAGATCCGGTGGCGTGGCGTAGCAGCTTCTGGATTAAGTTGTTTACTGCTTTGTACAGGTAGACTGTCGTGCACTATTTGTTGTTTTATGCAGGTGGATCATAGTGCACTAACTAATCTCCTGCCTTGAGTCGTAGGAACTTACACTTGTCATATTCTTCATGCATTTCGTTATGGTATTTGATTTCATGTAGTATATCTGCCACTACTATAGGTAGGCAGGTAGATGTACTCCATAGATTGAAATTGACTTCAGAATACTGCATTTACTGAAGTCTTTCTGCATCTACTCCTGGGTGGCATGTTATACATACATCTGTATTTGTTGAGAGATTATATGTATTGCAGATCTTCTCTGTATTTTTCCTGTGGATAGCTTGTTGTGTATGACGGGTCTCCTACAAAGGCTCATACGTATTTGCATTTTCCTATGTGTCATTTGCTGATTAATGATGATCGTAGGACATTACATCTTCTAGGATCTCCTTTGTATTTATTGTAGTCCTTTATGCATTTCTCCTTATAAATGACATGTAGTGTGCATAGTAGACTTATATAATTGATGTTTGCTTGCAATCAGCATCACATGTTTGTATTGATCATTCTGAGATCCAATTCATTGCTTAGTGGCTTGTGGCATGTTTCTTGTGGTTTGAAAGAAACTCGTTTTCTATTAGAATTCAAATTCTTCTTGGTTGAACTTGATTCGAATCTTCTATCATTTGTTTGAGTTCAAGTCCTATATGATATAATTCAGTCCAAGCTCAAATCTTGCTATTTGCATTCAAGCAAGACTTCTTGCAACCCAAGGCAAATCCAAATCTGAGTCTAGTTCAACATCAACCGCTTAAGCTTGATTTTAAGTGTGTTTTTATACTCAAAGCATGGTTTATTGAGGCTCCAATTTGAATTCAATTTAGACAAATCAAATTTTCACTTGAATCTAATGCTTGATTATTGTTCAAATTAGCTCAAGTCAATGCTCAAGTTTGAGCCAAAATCTCTTGTGGTCCAAACCAACTTTGTGTCAATGCTTATTTTCTTCAAGTTCAAGTTCCATTACACTTTATTCAAGTATTATATACTTGAGTTTGCAAATTCAATTTTATGTCATTAAGTCCTTTTTTATCGTTCACTTAAGTTCAAATCAACATGCAAGTTCAATCCAAGTCCTCTGTAGTCTTGTTCGGTTCAAGCTCTTTTCCTTTGCACCAAGTTCATTTGAGTTCAAATAAGTCCACTTTTAGGTCCATGTGTTGTTCAAGTTTCAATGTCCACAAGTTTTGAGTTCAAGATCATGTTCTAACTCAAATCTTTGTTATAGTTCATTTGCAAGTTCAAGAACGAGTTCAAATCCTTGTTGAAGTTCAAATGAGAGTCCAAGTTATATTCATTTAGAATGGAATTCATTTTGGTTTAAGTTCAATTAAGTAGATTGAATCAAGTCCACAAGTCCCATTTTTCTTCAAGTCCTTGTCTATATTTCAGACAAAAATTCGACAGCCTCCCGGCGTCTCCCCCGTTTAGGAGAAAAACCAAGAGGCCGCCTCCCCGCCACGTCACTAAAGACGTGCACGGTTGGTGTTGGTGAGACACCGCGGCGGTTGTATTTTTATTTTTCTCCCACCACGCGCACTAAAGGCTTGATTGGGGTTTTAAAAAACATTTTTATTAAAAGAGACAGTTTTGCTTTCCCCCCGCTTGGGGGTACTTATAAGTGACCCCACTTCGTCGTACGTGCCGCACCGGGGTCCCATCCCACCATGCGCACTAAAGGCGTGCTTGGGGCTGTTCTCCGATTTGCCACGAACATTGAAGTAGGGTTTTAAGTTTAGAAAATTTCATACATTCGCGGGGTTGTCGTGGTTGGCACGTGGATCGAGGGGTCACTCGCCTACCTCGTCGTAGGTGTCGCACCGGGTTCCCTCCTACCACGCGCACTAAAGGCGTGTTTAGGTGGTTTGCCGATCCGACACGAAAGCCGAGGAAAGAGAGTGGAGGGGAGCATTTTTTATTATTTTAAATTAATTATGATTATTTAATAATAATAATAATTAGAATGAATTAAGTTTAATTAATTATAATTAATATATAATTAACTAATAATTAATTATTAAGATAATTAATCATAATTAAATTTAATTAATTAATGATTAATAATAATTAATTATCATTTAAAAACGGCGGCAAGCGAGCTCTCGGCCTTGCTTGCGGTCCAACAGAAGGGAAGTCGTCGGAGGGGGCGAAATTGTGTGCAACAGGGAGAGAGTTATCTCCACAGCAAGCTCCTGTTCTTGTTTCCGATCAAAATGTCGTAACTTCCAATCCCGCAGGAATGGAAAGTCGTCGCTGGGAGCAAGGTCGCACAGTCAGGAAGGAGCCGAAGCAGCGACGGGAAGGGAGAAGGTTAACTTCACAGCCGGCGAGCTCCTGTTATTGCTTACGACCAGAATGTCGTGACTTCCGATTGGGTAGGTAGGGGAAAGCTTCTTTTCCTTCTTCTTCTTCTTCTTTCTCTCTCACTCTCTCTCTCGGCTGCTTGGAGGAGTGAAGTCGCATGGCTACAAAGGAGATGGGGAAGTCGTGTGGATGTTGGGAGGAGAAGCAGAGAGCCGAAGAGCAACCGAAAGCTTCGCTCGGTTTGGTATTTAACGACGCGAACGAGGCGACGATCGAGGAGCTGTCGCGGGATTTAAGCAGAAATCGCGTGAACTAAGCGATGTCAGCGCCGAATCATGTCAGGTATGCGGGATTTCTTGCGGGATTCGCGTGCTAGCATCAATGCTTCCGAGGTACGCTGATTTTTTTTTCTTTTTTTTTTGTTATTACACGGGAGGTCAACAAGAAGGTATCTCACAAACAACAACAAAGAGTGATCATCTAAGCAATCTTAAAATGCAAGACCCTATTATTCAAAAAGAAATAAGGGATTTCATAATGTCACATATAATCTTGAACAGTTAAAACTTTACAAAGCTACCACAGCATGTTTGATTAGAAGTAAAGAACATACAAATGAGTAGAAAATTTTCAGGACTTACAGAATGAGAGGATGAATACCAATTGTGAACTACAGGATTCATTCCAAGGTCCATCACCACCAAGTTTACCGTGGTTTTGCCCTTCAGAAATCTCATAGCTTGAACCTTTAAAAAACTTGCGCAGCCAACCCATTTATGAGAGGCTATTTTCACGAATTCAAAGTATGTCTGTAGGATGGGAACAAAACATGTAAAACATGAAAACAGAAATCAGTAAGGACTTAATCAGTCAACCTATTCAAGATCAAGTTTGCTAGTTCTGTGCATTAGACTACCCCAAACCTGCATTGGTAAGAGCTCCATGTATTAGGCATGGCCTGTTTTACTGATTTAGAAATGTTACAGCTTAAATAACAGTACAATTAGGCACACCTTATCAACATTTTCTCCTTCAACCCATAATGCCTATGTACTTCTGTAAGAGGTGAGAATGTCCATGAGCCACATTTAAACACAAAGAGAACTGCAAGCTCAACAAGATATGTTTGTCGTGAACAATAGAGATGGGAATTATCATTGATACCGTTGAAAACCTATATAATATTAGGTCTAAGCAAGAAAATAGCAGCTCCAGGGAAAAGAGCTTTCAAAATGCTAAAAGAGAGATCACACTCAAAAAATAAGTGAGAAGCAGTTTCAGAATTACAATTGCAAAAAAGACGGTGAGTAGGAATGTTTCTGGAGATAAGTTGGTCAGCCGACAGTGCCACAAAAAAATCTGAGACATTCACTACACAGAAACAAAAACCCCACATAATTAAGATATGTAGCTGAAAAAACGCCACTTAAATCATAGAGATTCAAAACAAATTATTAGAAGACCACCTGTAGCATTAGAGGATTGGTTTGAGGCAGGAGTAGCTGCTGTAGATGGATGTTTGTTTCCTTGCTTAATTGAAATGGACCTAATTGATTGTCCGAAGTTGAAAGAGTTGCCCCATTTGCCTCCTAAGCTCAAGAGCTTGAGGATAGGAATTATGAGGTGGAAGGCTTGAAATTTTTGTAGCATTTCAAATTCTATTCCCCTTTAAATGTTAGAGGTCTCTCACTGCTGAAACATTACAATTATTCCTCTAGCTGATGAAATAGCAAGACTCGCAGAGATACTTGAAAATTAAAAATTACCCCAATTTGATCTCTCTTGGAAGAAATTTACTTGCCAAAAATCGGAACCACCTCCACCGGCGGCATCGGCCTCTCCATTTCCCTTTCACCCCCCTCACTGCTAGCAATGGGACGGCAGGATTAGGCATCGCGATGGGTGGATTCGACATTGGGATGGTAGGATTCGGCGTCAAGATGGTGGCTTCGGCATTGAGGCTAGCTGATTCAACATTGATGATCATCAAATGGAGATCTACGAAGATGAAGTTGTGGGAGAATGAGTTGGCTAGGGCACGAAAGGATGAGATCAGCAAATTTATGAGCGGTCATGCTCAGCCGGCGGTTTGCAACCACTGCTACAAAATATTGGGGCATCTTTAACTTTTTTATGGTGAATTTAGAAGCGGTTATAATCAATGTCTATATCTATTATAGCGGTTGTTTTAAAACCGCTGCTATAAACTGCTGCAAAAACATTAACTTTTTGGCAGTGAGGGATGAAGCTTCCTCAAAAGATTTATCATCATCCACCTTGCTATAATGCGAAAATAAACAGATTTAGTAAATGGAAGAAGTCCAAAGTTAGGACAATAACAAAGTTTCTCAATAACCCTACTCATTCAAGGAAAAGAACTGCAAAATAAATGATATGAATAACAAGGAAAAGTGTTCGAAAATTTTTATTTGCTTTGTTAAGCTGAAAAGATTGAAAAGTAATGCACTCCCAACTCCATTAAGTGCATTATAACAAACAATTAGCATAGGAATCCCCTAAGAATCGCACCTCCAGCAAACAAACATAAAACAAGGACTCAATGCTCCATAATCAAGTTACATAAAAGAAGGATTCAATGCTCTATAATCAAATGAACTGATATATCTCATAATAATATTTTATGAAAATTCTGAACTAGAATCATATTTCTCACGTATGTGCTCATGTGAATACATCATGCATATCTTCTCAAACAAAATAAATATGCATATACCAAAAATACCTGAATTGGGTGGAGGTGATTGACCAAAGCATCTATAAGGACTGTTTTAAAAGTCCCCCAATTAATGTTTTGGCATTCTAATGCAACAAAGAAAAAAAGAACTCATTAACTTTTTCATAGTATGAATGACAAATACAGAAACAAAGTCATCCAAAAAACCAAACATTTGGTATTTTTGGGAGTTCATCAATTTCAGAAAGTTGACAATTGCACATGTTGTATCTATAAAAATACTTCTTAGTTATGCTCAAATCTATCAAGCGTAAAAGATAAAACATTAAAAAAAAAAATCAAATTTGAATGTGAATAGAAATTCTACCTCTTTAGTCCAGCCAATAACAAGCTGAAAAAATGAGAGAAGATTGTTAATTAGTGTATCCTAAATCAAGTAAGTTAAATGCATTAGAACATTAAGGAAGCTTAATAAAAACGTAATGCCCAAGAGTAATGAAAACATTATATAACTTGTGTTTGCAAAATAGATGGGCGCATCTACTTGGACAACCACCATACCATCATATGTATATGCTTAAGGATATTGTAAAATACTTTTGTAAACTGTTGTTCTAAGTAGTCGCCCGAACATAGCTGCAGAATTCATCCAAAATTAAGTTACAACTCAAGTATGAAGACGATGATTTTGAATGATGATGCTTAACGGTAGAAATGTATTCATATGAAAGGATCAGATAATTTACAAAAGTGAATGAGAAAATAACTAGTACTCTTAAATTATATATGTTAATGAAGAATGATTTAGCGTATTATAAACCACAGGGAAGAAATTTGATTTTAAAAAGAGGCATAGGATTTTTTTTTTATTTGAACTCGTTTTAAGCAAAAAAATGTTTTGATTCATTCCAGCATATGCAAGTAATTATGACTAGATTACCATACAATTAAAAATAAAATAAAATCATTATATCATGTGTACTCGTGGAGTTATATCACTACTGAATAGCAGCAGAAAAATGCAGCTCACCTTGATATGTTGGTTAGGAGCTTTGACTATCAACCAAAAGGTTTGGGCTCGAAGCTTGTGAGTGTGATGTGTGTGTGAGTTTACATTACTTTGCTCCAAAGTCTTAAGAAAAAAATTGCAGTCTGAACTTGTTTAGCACAATATAAGACAAGATAACATTTTCAAATATAATCAATAAAGTTCACCTGTTGATGCAGAAAATAATTTTTTTAAGCGGAAGATAAAGGGAATGTAGGCATGGCAAAGGGTCAATAACTGAGCCATCTAAAATGAATATACTAAAGATGAATTTACCAGCAGCTAATATACTTGTTGAGGTGATCCATTCGAAACATTAAACTCACCCATATGTGGATTTGCCAACTAATGAATGACAAATGCAAGAGAGAGGGCCACCAACAAAAAAATAAAGCCTTGGTCTTAAAGAATCAGGTATGGCCCATTAAGCAAGAACATATAGATTAAAACTTTAAAAGTTATTTTCATATTTAAAAACATGAAAAAGCATGTAATTTTTTTTATTAGAGTCTAGGAATATTAAATTTCAAATATAATAGCTACAGAAAGTTAGTATTATTGAAAATCTGCATATAAATTTTTTCATTGTAACTTAATTACATTAAACCTTTGCATTGACTTCATAGACTCATCAAATTTTGCTCAAATTGCAGACTGGATGAGCAACTGTTGATGCAACTAAATATAAAAAAAGAAAATGTCATAAAGAAGTGAAAAAAATCAGATGAAGCATGCAAGGTCTTTTTGGTTACAATAAGGAACGGAGCAATGCCACCAAGTGGAGTATAAGCTACTTACAATACAATGACGAACAAAGATCAAATTAGTAGACTGAAAGAAAATTATAAAACATAAAATGGTAGCCCACAAACATGCAGAATATGCTGATGAGAAAACAGGGACTTACTTGTGTGTTCTTACCAGGCCCATCACAGAAGATACCACAATTGCAACCTTACCTAATGGTCGTAAATGCGCTGAAACTAGCAAAAGGGGTTGTGCTTGCTCCCTTACTTGCAGCTTTTCCCACAGTTGAAGTTTCATAAATTTTCCATAACCTCAACGTTTCATCCCCAGCTGCTGATGCCACTCTACATCCATCAGGGCTTTGAGTCGTGAACAGCACTCGAGAAAAATGACCATCGAGTTCAACTATCTTCTGCATAGATGGATACCTCCACAATACCAAATTGTTGTGAGGTAGACCATGAGAGCTCAACAGCTCACGCTCATTTTTACTCCAGATAAGTCCAGAAACCTGTGAGTTAGTATCAACTGAACTGAGACAATTCCCTATGTCTGTGTTCCAAAATCTGATGCATCGATCACTCTCACCACCGCCAGCGGCAAGCAAATTTCTTTGGAAAGGACACCATGCAAGAGCTTTAACTGCACCCGTATGCTCCTCAAACCGATGGAGCCATGGACTTCGATTTGAAGTTGTGGTAGAGGCAGCCATGGAGCAGTCCCACACATGAACAAGATTGTCATTGCCTCCGCTGGCTAACTTGTTTGCAGAGCCCGACCATTTTAGCCCACAGACTTCCATATGATGCCCTCTATATTTCTGGACAATGTGGGATCTAATTCTCACGTCATTGTTTACAATATTGCCATCCATTCCACCTGTTGTGAGGATACCTCCATTCCAAGCAAGAGATCCTACTCTGGACTGATGAATACCTTCTAGAGTTCTCAATGGACGATTCGACGTTACGTCCCACAACTGAACGTAGGAATTGGACAACCCAAGGGCAATGTGCTTCCCATCCGGAGCCCAAGAGACGCTGCTTACAGGACTAACATGATCATTAAACGTCACCAATTTAGACGTTGATCCGTTAGAAGCATCCCACAAGTAAACTGAGTTCCGAAGGGCAACAGCAATGATATTTCTTTTTCCCCAATCAAGCAGATTTAGATAAAAATCACTCTCAATATTAGGCGCACCAAGTACCTTCTCAGCAGATTGAGGAATATACCTCTTGTTCTTTAAAGGCCTTTTATGATTGGAAGGAGAATCAAAGAAAATTTCTGGGAATATCTCTTCAGTCGGTGCCGAAGGCTTGCTATTGAATTCGAGTATCCGAGTTCGATTCTGCAAAAGAACGCGGTCAAGAATCTCCCTGTAGGCCCCTTTTCCTTTTCCTGACGATGATATTCCGGAATTGTTCTCCTTCTCCTTTCTTGGAGCCGCCATTAACAGATAATGGGCGATGTCAAGGTTCATTGCGGATCTATTCGGAATAAATCTATCGCCACCACCTTGCCGCGAAGAGGAAAACTTGGAAGAGAAACGGCCTAAATGGCGATATTGTGCTCTGGCATCCATCATAAAAAGATTAAGCAAAAGAAATAATAAAATTAATTCTGTAAGACAAAAAGAAATAAGAATTTTGAACGTTTAAGATCGAGAAGCAGGTTGATGGCAGCTGAATAGGTTTATTAGGGAACTCGTTACCGTTCACAAACCAAGATTCGGAACACCAAATAGATTTCTCAAGACAATCGGTAGCTTGCCGGTAGATTCGAAGGATTTGCAGGGGCTAGTGAAGCACGCGTGTGCTTTCAGTGAAGGAAGAGAAAGAAGGCGTTTCTACACAGCAGAATAATATCTCCTTTTATAAGGGTTTTTCTATTATTAGAAAGATTTTTTTTCTGTGAGCTTTTTAGAAAGATTGCAAATACGTTGCAATACAATTCAGAAGTATATAAAAAAAAAAATCAAATTTTACTATTTTAGTTTCCTTTTATAGGTTTAAGTTTAAGATGCTTAAATTAAATGAAGATTTGTCATTAAGCGGGCCCTCTGTGGGTCACCTTTATATTTTATTATTTTCTTAATTTAAAAAAATATATTTGATAATTTAAAAATAATATATTTTGATAATTTTATTTAATATTTTAAAATTATTTATTTTTAGAAACAAAAAATAAAACATATAAAAATATATCAATTTAATTATATTAAAAGCTTTTCAATTTGTTTTTGAAATGGACCTAAATGAAGCATTTGAAATTTCAAAAAGTTTAGAAATTGTTTGAGAGATTAAATTTTCCAAAATTAGCTCATTTATTAAACTCCAAAAAAATCTCAAAAAGTTTTCAAAAAAAAAAAATTAAAACTTCTATTTTCATTTGTCTCCTCCCAATTATATATATCCTAGTTGCTTGAAATAGTTAAACATTTAAATAATCCTAGAGCTTTTATAAGTGAATGACCTACCAACATCTCCATCAACTATTGTGAACAAATTGTCATGACTCGATTGCAATCACCAATAAGACTGAGACACACACGGCTGATGTTAAAGGCAGTGCTCGACATCACCAATAAAATTGACATCTATTGTGGCCAGTAAGATCGACCTTCTTCATCACCAACGACATCAACACTTGTCGATGTTAATTAATAACGTCAATAATATCAATGCTCGCCAACACTAATTAAGTTAATATATTCTATTGATAACAATAATGATTCTTATCAATGCCCATAAGGCTGTCACCCATTGTGGAGATTAATGCCAACAAGTTAATTGCCTGCCCCCCACCCAGTTAATAAGGCCAACATACACAATTCTCATTAACATTGAGACATGTCATCCCCAATAATGTTAGTGTTGTTGACACCATCAAGATGACATATATCCTCACCCATAACATTGACGTATGTGATCACAAATAAGGCCAATGAATGCATCCTACATCAATATGCATAATGGTTGATATTTTTAATGAGAACGAACCCCATCGTCATCATAATACTAAGATTAATACTCATTATCGAAACAAATGTCAATACCAACATTGACACCATTTGCATCACCCTCCATCGCCAAAAAGGCTAACTCTTATCATAGACATGAAGATCGATGTATGTTGTCGTGTAATAACATCGATGCTCTTAATCAACCCATTTACCAAACCTAGCGTCTCTATCAAGGCTAATGCTTACTTTCTTAGTTGTTGGTCTAGTTACCTTCTTGTATTGACAACTACTAAGTAGATTATTAATAATCTCTCTACACAACTCCAATGCCCCCAATACTTTTACTTTGGCTTTAAAAGTCATATTCCATATTTTATGTGTTATATTATGTCCATGTCTTCTCTAATTAAGAGAAAGAAAATAATTAGTAACCTATGACTTGTAATTTAAAACTATATTAGCTAGATTAGGACCCATAGTTTTTCTCATTTCTATATTTTTCATATAAAATCTTGTCTCTTTGAGTTACACTCAATTTATCTTATATGTGTGTGTGCGAACGTTTATATAATGCCAAAATGATAAATTCTCCTAGTTGTATGTCTTCTCACATGCAATACTAACTAAATTTCTTGAATGTCTTTTAATATAATTTATATTATAATAAAAAATTTCTTATACTTTTAGTAGCTCAAAATAAATGAGAATTAAAAGATATAAATAATTAAAATATTGGCGCCATTTGGAATAGCTTTTTTGTTACTTTGGTTTTCACACAGAAATCATAATTTCATTTGACTACTCATTTTTTCATGATTTTTACATTTTTTATGCTCGAGTGGTACACCGAGATTCTTAGGGCCTCAGAGCTCTCTTGAATCTAAAGATATAATGTTTAGGCTTTGACTTCTTAGTTCTCCTCTCATGTAAAGAGTATGGATCTATTTATTAATTTTTTAGAGTGGCATAATGAAAAATATGAAAAAAAAAAAAATTGGAAAATCTCTATCAGACGACCCATATTAATTCTCTTAATCATAAAGCGTTAGTTCAATATTTATCTTAGGCTTGTTGGATTTGTCTCATCAAATAGCTCGTTTTGACAACGTACAAGCATACCAAAATTGCAGGCCATCATATCACCATATTAATATTTAGAATTTTAGTTACAATTCAAGCCTTAATTTGGGCTCATTCGAGCTTTGGATTGAACCAATTTTCATGTCATTGGGGTTGTCTAGTCAATATGTTCCACTTTTGAGAAGTTCATTGAAATGAGAGTTCAAATAGTTCAGAATTTGGTTTTGAAAGTTACCAATTTAAATGTCTTGCGATTTATGCTCGATCAAGATGATTTTTGGTGACGTATCAATTATCCTTAGTATCATAATTGTTACGGCTACAATGACTTGAGTCGGGCCGAGTAGAAGCATGTTCATGTTTTAGCTCTTTTATTAATATCTTGCTCGAGTTTGGTTTGAGCTAGATTCAAGCTTTTTCATTTGTGTTCAAGTTTTGTTCATATTTAATCCATGTTCGGATTGTTTACTACTTATCAAGCTTTAAACGAGAAGCTCGTTTAAATTAACGAATGAGCCTGATCGAGCTATTGACGAAAGCGCCTTATCGAGCTATTAATGAATGACCCTTATCAAGATGATCATTAGCTTAATAAACAAGCCTTATTGAGATTTCTAACAAACACTTATACCGGGTCTCTTAAAGAACATAATTGTCAAGCTTTGTTGAGCCTATAAACGATCTAGCATATCGAGCTCTCTCCAGCTTATAAACGAGTAACTTTGTCAAGCTCATAAATGATACTTTTAATAAATGATATTCTTCATGAACACAAAATCAAATAATCTATCAAACATGAATAAATATATTTTGATCTTGAACAAGCTCAATCATAATGAGACTTAATCAATACTTATATCAAACAATAATCTAGTTTTTTTTTTTTTTTCATGAGCTTTGTATCAAATAAGAATCGAGTTTCTTAATGAGCTTCTTATCAAGCTTCGTATCAAGCATGTTTGTGAGCTTCAATGATGTTATACATGAACATAAACAAGTCGAACACATTTAATGAAGCTTATTTAATTACTTAATCAAACGATCATAAAAGAGCTATAATTGAGCGTAGCCATAAGTAGCTTGTCAAATGCTCAGTTTATTTGAAGCCCTAGTAATTGTTATAGATTTTTTTTCCTATATATTTATTGCTAATATCCTTTAAATGTAGTATACATATTATAATTAGTAAAAATAATTACAAATAATAATTTTACGTAAATAAATTTAAATTTTTAGTATTTATTTGATTAGGGATTATGTTACAATTAATGAATTCCCCTTTTCAAATAGTTAATTTAAAATTTTGTAAATTCTATTAAATAAGACCAAAGATTCCGTTGTGCTTAAGGAGAAAAAAAATTGTGAGAGCTGTGTGAGTTCTGAGTCAATGAATCGTTCTATATATGAATCATAAATTTTTAAAATTAAATTTATGATAATCTAAACTCCGGTTTCAACAAACTTATAGTCAAATTGAATGTATCAAAGAGATGAACCCAATAACAGCAAAATCAGTCCAATCTGAACCCAAATGAGTCCAAATTGAAGACCCGGAGACTATTTGGAAGCTTTAGAATATTAATCAGTTGACCAAATGACATATAAATGTGGCATGCTTATAAATAAATTGATTGACTCGACGAGACAAATTCAACAAGCCCAAGATTGCCAAATTCTGACATCATAAAGACGCTCGAATGGTCAATGAATGATCCATGATTGAGGGAGTTAATATTGGCCGTTCATTGGAATACTCCAAGTGTGTCGTTGATCTTCTCTCAATTTACTAGGCATATCACTACAAAAAAACTATAAATAGACTCCCATTCTTCACAAGGAGAGAGGAAGAGAAGAAAAGTAAACGATCTCTCTAGTTTTCTCAAGCTTGCACCACTAGTCAGATCTCTTGCCTACCACCGTCGTCTGACTACGGTTCATCTGACCACCATTGCCTGAATTCAATCTTTTTGACCACCGCTACCCGACTATGATCCTTTCAACCACTTTCACCAGACTACGGTCCTTCCTAGCACCATCACCCACCAACTACAATCCAATCCTACCACTGTTGCCAGCCGATTACGATCCTTCTGACCTCACTCTCCTACCGACCACCATCGCCTGTCGACTATGGCCCACATTGACAACATCAGACCACTGTCGTGTGTCGACTACGATCCTTCCGACCACCATCACTCAATTATGATCCTTATGAACACCATCGCTCACCGACTACGGTCCATTCCGACCACTGTTGTCCGCTGACTATAATCATTCCAACCTTGATCATTGGCCGACTACAGTCACTTCAACCACCGTCACCTGCCGACTATGGTCCACTCCGACCACTTTTGCCCATCGACTATGGTCCTTCCAATCTCCATCACCTACCGATTACGATCACTCCGACCACCATCACTCGTTAACTACATTCCACTCTGACCACCGTCGCTCGCTAACTACATTCTACTTCGACCACCGTCGCTCATCGACTACACTCCTTTCGACCTCTATCACTTTCCAACTACAATTACTCTAACCACCACCGCTTGTTGACTTTGGTCCACTTCCGACCTCAATCAGATTGAATGACAGTTAATCATTTGATTGACCTTGGATTTTTTGATGGGAAGTCGAAATTG